TACATTTGACATTTCAAAGCAGGCAAAGTTTATAAACTTAAATTGTTTCGTTATTTTTCGCAATGATTTTTACATCTCTTAGTAAAACATGAATAGTATAAGGTTTAATTCCATGAGTTATTTTTTAACTATAGTTTATCTTCAACTCGTAGATGGAGTGGACAGAACAAAAAGATGTGATGCTAGCCTGAGAAATAACTTGCTGTCGCGACCGCAACCTGAAGCCGTTCTAGCCCCAGTTTCTTATCGGTCGTCACGTCGCCGACGTCAACGAAAACGTCTGTTGCTTAAGGTGCCTAATGAACAACGTTAACTGGTGCTGTTTCACAATCGTTGTGTTAGATTTGCGTGACTCGCGTGACTAATTTTCGTTGGCGTTTGTGAGCGGAAAGAATTTAGGTCACGAGACAAAAAAGGGTCACGGAATGGAAGCCTGCCGGTTATTCTAGGGCCATGCACAGTCCTTGATGTGATGCTCAAATGAATTAATCTTGTAACACTATTTAACACGATCAAAAATCTATTACATTCCAAAGACTTCGGTTGAAATCAAAAGCTAGTTCCGGGCTGCAATAACTTATAATTGATCAATTGTGTCTGTTCAGTTATTTTCAACACCACAGTTGTGAGAACAAGTTGATCCAAAGGCTTTAGTCCTATTTTGACGTCTTCAAGAACAGTAATTGAGCCTATAAGCTGTGTTCAATTTCAAACTTGTCTGTATTTAACGTTGAATCAGAGCTGTAAATCAAGGGCAACCTAATTATTATCATGGTAGCCATTTTTGTGCCTTTGGTTTAGTCTGAAAAACATCAGTGACAAATTTTCGCGGTGCCACTGTCACCAGATTTGTAAAGCTACACAGACACATCAACACAAATAGTAACTTCTTTTTAGTGCTGTCTTGCCTGTATCAAACTAAGAATATGTTAAGCCAAGGATGTATAGCACAAGTCCCCTGTAGTATATTGTGGCAAAGAGTTTGACCTTGGTGAATTTGCATTTTTCGCTCCTAGTTTTGCAGATAAAGCCCTATTTTAATACCGTTCATTTTGATCAATACCATTGGATCTACAAAAAACGCAGAACTTGGTAAGTCTAAAAAATGTAGCTTCTCGTAACAGTCATTTAAAAAATGGATAACTAAGGCTATTTCATAATCGTGGAGTTAGATTTGCGTGACTCGCGTGACTTATTTTTCCTTGGCGTTTAAGACCGAACAGTACTGAGGTCACGCGAAAAAGAGTCACAGAATGGAAACATACTATGCACAGTTACCCCCAGCCATGTCTCTGATGGGAATCTAACATAAACTAATGTTAGAAAGCTATTGGACACTGTAAAAATCTCCTTATTATACGAACCGAAATGTTTTTTTAAAAAAGCTCTAATTCCACGATACAACGATCACATTTAGTGAATACAAAATTGGTTACCAAATAAAAAGCATGACGTCATATGATAACCTGTTTTCTCGGAAAGTCGGGAAAATCCCGGAGTGTTCCGTAGTTTCAGTTTCGAAAACCGAGGTTATTCGAATTCGCTGTGCACGTGGTAAGTACAATTATCTTTTTACTGTCTATCCTCTCTATTCGCCAGTTTAGATTGAATAATTTGATTTGTTTATGAGCTACGATATTTACAAAACATGAGGTGGGGTTGATCGCGAAACTTATCGCTTCCTTTAAAATAGAAAAGCTGTCTAGTTCTGTAAGCAGGCGAAATAATTAAATCGATTATATCGTGAAATGTACGGCCGTCGATAAAACCCGGAACATTCCGGAATTTACCGGAACATTCCGGAACATCGAATAATTAGCATAATTATGCGAAAAATATGTAAAATTAAATTTTTAAAACTAACATAAACAAAAATAAACTGGTATCAACTTGAAATGTGAAAAAATATTATTGGGGATAGGGGAGTCGGTAGCAGGTGGGTAGGGAGCGTTGGGTATTCATTCAACTGACCACAATGAGTGCAGGCTCCTCTCCTCTTTCTCGCCAATTGCGTCACGTCGCTTTTCAGCACTCT